CCACCTATCAGAGTTACCTCTGACTGTCTGTCTGTACTCCCCCTCTGAAATACAAGGGCTGAGATCGTGCAAGGGGGTAGCACATGAGCCAAACCCGATGCCCTCACTTCGCTCCACCCTTACCTCGGCAGATTTTGTTCCTGCCAACACTCTGCCAGTTGGAGTTCTACTCTTTCTGTTGGAATTTCTCCTGAACCTCTCCCCAGACCTCAACAAGTGTTGGAGTTTGTCAGAGTAGGCCTGGACTTGACAAAAAGCAGAAGTGAGCAAGCACAGGTGACCAGAAAGCTGTCATAAGTGTTGGACCTTCATCACAATGGCCAAGGGGAGTGTCTAGAGGTTATGTGATGGCAGGGGAAGTGATTTGGCTGAAAAGGATGGAGTGTTGGGCAACCTGGAGTGCAGAGGGTGTCAAAGATGCTTGAGAGGGGTCACATTTGCATTGCCTTTGTTGCAAAGCCTATAGACACCTAGTAGACCCCCTATTGACACCACACACACACCCCTAGTGTAGGGAGATTGCTCTCCCCACAACAGTCTTGGATGATCTCCATTCCTAAGATTCATTGTCCCTTGCCCAAATCTGATAGGTCATACTCTGAGGAGAGTTGAGTCTTGAGCTGGTTAATAGCATCACAGTTCTTTGACAAGATGAGTTTATCATCCACATAGACAGCAACTATAGTCTGAACTCCATTTTTGAATTTGTAGAACAAACTGTGGTCTGCATTGCTGTGCATGAAACCCAGGGCTTTGAAAACTTCCCTCAAGTGGGTATACCAAGCCTTTGGAGCTTGTTTTAGGCCATAAAGGGCATGGTGAAGGTGCCAAACAATGTCTGCAGATTTACAGAACCCAGGAGGAGGTCAAAGGAAGACCTCTTTGTCAAGTTTTCCATTCAGGAAGGCTGACTTGACATCAATTTGGTGTAATTCAAGGTCATACTTGGCTTTGAGAGCAAGCAAGATTTGAATAGTAGTAAACTTCACAATGGGGACAAAAGTATCAGTATATTCCACTCTGTAAATTTGAGTGAACCCCCTAGCAATGAGACATGCCTTATACTTCTTGATGTTGCCCATTGGTCCTCGCTTTACTTTGTATACCCATTTCAAATCAATGATCTTTTGATCTGAGGGCTGTTCAACCTCCTCATACAGCCTGAGCTTCTGAAACATGTTCAGCTTGTCCACCATTGCTGCATACCAACAATTGCCATCTGGGTGATTTACAGCATCCTCAAACATTGTAGGCTCATCATTGCATGCAGAACTCACTTGGTAAGCTGTGTGGTCTTGTTGATTCAAGTCAATGCTTTTGCCTGACTGCTGCATCTCAACCTTGCACTCAGCCACTCCCCCACCATGAACCTCTGCCCTTCCATTGTCTCTCTCAGCATTCCCATGGTCCTTTTTCCTTGTCAATGTTGACCTCTGGTTAGCATTGACAAAATATCTTGGGTCATCATCTTGAACTGGAGCCTTTCTGGTCCTAGAGGATCTCCTGACCTCAGCAAGTGGTAGTGGCTGTGGATATGGCACTGGAGGACCTCTGGACATTGTAGGATGTCTTGCTGTTGTTCGATTTGCCCTCTGGGAGATTTCTGGGTGAGTTCTAGGCATTTCTACCACAGAACTTGGCTCATCTGACTGATTTGGCTCATTTTCAGCCTCTGTGGGCTTGAGCATTGATTGTCCTTGATAAGGACCCATCAGAGCACCTCCCTGGCTCCCTGTGGTTGTGATGAGACCTAACAACAGGGTTTGTTGTAGGCTCACACCAAGAACCAAAGAAGAAAGAAAGAGAAGAAGAGAGGAGGTGAGTTTAGAAGCAGGAGACTTCAGGACTCATAGACCCAAATGGACTAGCTTGGAGCTAGCCTGGGGATTGAGCAATGGTACTTATAATATAGCACATGTGTCAATGGCAAGGTGTACATGAGGTCTGTGACATCATGGTGATGTCATGATGGTATCATAGTGGAGCAGAACATACTAGAAGGCAGGCATGTGGTGGCAGCAAGGTGAGGTCCAGACCAGAGTCCAGACTGAGTCCAAGCAGATAAGATAAGATGGAAAGGAAAAAAGGAAAAGAAGAAAAGTGTACATATCATAACACTATCCCCTCCTTAGAAATTGACTTCCAGGTGATTAAAGGTAGGGACAGTGTCCATAAAGTTCTCAAGAGGGTGGAAGAGGGAGGCAAAGAGAGAGGAGTCCATGCCACAGAGTTTATGAGGGGCAGAGGGTTGTGGTGGTAGAAACCTTTGATGGCAGCAGGGGCAGACTTTATGGTGGACTCAGGCTCCCAGGTGCAGTCCTTGTCATGGTACCCCTTCCAATGTACCAAGTACTCAAGCCTGTTCTGTTTGAGGTGAGAGTCAGCAACATACTCAACCTCAAACTCTTCATCACCCTCATGGCTCACTACCAGTCCAGGGCATGTGACAACCTGTCCCTCAAGTGGTCCCTTGTGCAGTTTGACCCATGAAACATTCATCATGGAGTGGATTTTAAGGGTTTTAGGAAGTTTCAGTGCAACTGCATTTGGTTTGAGTGAGACTACCTTATAGGGACCAATCCAATGTTCAGTGAGTTTTCTTGAGGGGTGACCAGAGAGTGAGATATGCAATGTTTCCAACCAGATGATGTCACCAACAGAGTAGACTGGGGCTTCTGAATGGTGTGCCTTGGAGTTGAGCCTCATCCAATCTGCAGTCCTCTCCAGGGCCCTTTTGGTATCCTCCAGAACCTTGGCAAAGTCAATGGTGTTGTCAGTGGCTGCCTCTGCCTTTGACAGGAAGGGTTCAACTCCCATGTGTGGGGAGTAGGAATGAGTAACTGAGAAGGGGCTCCTGCCAGTTGACTCCTGACACTTGTTATTGTAGGAGAACTGGGTGACCTTTAGCCAAGAGGGCCAGGAGTCCTGTCTGTTGTTCACAAAAAGGTGAAGGTACTGCTGGAGGTCCTGGTTGAGCCACTCAGCTTGCCCATCAGTCTGAGGGTGGAAGGCAGTAGAGAGTTTGGGCTTGACACCAAGCATTCTGCAAAGCTCCATGGTGAAGGTGCTTGTGAACTGAGGGCCTCTATCAGATATGACAGTTGAGGGTAGGCCATGTTGGGTCCAAACATGATCCCTGAAAAGCTCCACAGTCTGGAGGGAGGAGACACCCTTAGTAGTGGGGGTGAACACCACCTCCTTGGAGAACCTATTGACCACCACAATAACATTGTCAAAGCCCTGTGCCTCTGGTAGCTCCATGAAGTCAACCAAGATGTTGGTCCAGGGTTTCTCAGGGATGGGGTTGGGGAAGAGTTTACTGGTGGGGGGAACCCTCAAGCTTTTGGCCATCTGGTAATGATGGCAGGCAGCCACATACTCTTTTACAGAGGCAGGCATGCCTGGCCAGACATAATTGTGAGAAACCAAATCCAAGGTTTTCTTCCACCCTGGGTGGCCAGCAACTGGGGTGTCATGATGTTTCTCCCAACAGTGGACATGGACAGCCAGGGGAATGTAGACCTTTCCTGAACAAACATAAAGGCCATTCTGAAGGGTGGAACCCTCTGGTTGTGGCATAACCAAGGAAGTGGACTTCAAAGTGATGACCAGATCCATCTCCTCTCCAATGATCAGGGTAGAGGCAACCCTTGAAGGGTCAAGAAGAGTGACACCCTAGTTATCAGAACCCTTTTCTGGCTCATGATCCTCCTGTCTTGACAATGCATCTGCCTTGGCCTGGGATGAGCCAGGTTTGTACACCAGCTTATAGTTGAACCTGGAAAGGTACTGAGCCCAATGAGCCTTGCAATGGTGTAGATTCTGCACCTTCATGAAGTACTGGAGGTTAGAGTGATCTGTCCAGACCTCAAACTGATAGGGGGTGGCCTTGAGATAGTGACACCATGTCTCCAAGGCATGGATGATGGCAAGCATTTCTTAATTGAAAACCTGGTACAGTGACTCCAAAAAACCCTTTCAATGTTTTCTCTAAATGGAGTTTGTGAAGTGTAGTGCGAAACAGGGGTGGGAATTTTGCTTCGTGTCTCTAGGACCAAATTTAGTACTTGCCCTTGGCTACAGAATGGTACCTTTTCACATGATTTGGCAGACAGGCAGTGGAGATATCGATATCATTGATTTAAAAACTGCAATACCATTGAAAGGGTTTTTTCACTTTTGAATTGAAAAGGGTATTTGGAGAATGAGAAGCTGAGATCTCAGGATGGGATGGGAAAATATGATTACATAATAAACCACATGATCTTCTAGATGATTTGTTAACAAGCAAACAATGACAAACATTGTATTTGTATCATTAAACCTCCCTCTTTTACCACAACTCAAGAAATCATCTCTCTGCCTCACATGGACATGTTCTCAGGGAAATCTTATCAAATACTGGTTTCCATTACAGTACCATCTGTATAAATATGCTCTTAGAACCATTAGACCCTTAAAAAGCCTGCTGTCAGCCATTCCCTGCACTGTTTCCCCACCATGCCTGATGTTTTCTGGGACTAATCAGTGCTTGGAAGGCTGAAAAATGTTATGGAGGTCAATCTGGCACCTCAGAACATGATGTATAAACCAATCTCCTCTCAACAATGCATTTCTGGCCCAGGGACACTGGTATGGAGGTTAGGGCAAGACAAAATCCTCTTCACCCTTGGGTGTCATCAGAAGGATGTGCTACTGAGCAGCCATGGAGCAGAAACCCTGTGCTCCCACCTGTCCCTGAATATTGCCTTTGGTCACATGTGATTGAATAACCCTTTCCCAGTCATCCAAAGTTCAGATCAGAGCAAGATCTAGTGAACCTCCTTAGAGCCAGTTCAGAAACTGGTGTAGAGCATTGCTGAGCATTACCAAACTCATGTTGGTTTGCTTGAGTCTGAAGGTCCCTCCACTAAAAAGGTGTGCCATGTGTGATTTTCATGCATGACAGATCAGCACTAATGCAATTCTGGTCTTCAGGTATCTGGTGGGAGGCCAAAACCATGCCAAGACACCATTCCCTTCTCATTCCTGCTCAAATCCCCCACCAACTGATGGTTCCCATAGTGAGTGGCTCTCTGCACCTCCAGCCCATGCAAAGACCCTGGTGCATCATCCACAAAATAAAGTGCTAACTGACTATAATGGGCAGGAAAGCAATGGCCATGATTCTGATGATGAAGCTGATGAAGACACTTATTTGCCCACCCTATCCAATTCAAAGAAATTGGCAACATCCCTGAATAGTGAGCTTCCTGCTGTAACTTGTATTCACAGCAAACCCTGATCTGCACTCAGGGAACAAGTACACAACTAAACTACAGGATCACTCAGAATGTGTAGATGAAGACGGATTGGAGAGCATTCCTTTCACTGACCACCCAACTGAGGAGGGGTCAACAAGCAGAAAAAAATGGTGGAAAGCTGAAATCTGCCCTGAAGCACACACACCAGGCAAGTTCAGTCATGTTGAATCAGCTGTTATGGCTAACAAGTTTGTGCTGTATATTAGCAGGCTCTGTCAGAGTTGAGTGAGCAGACATGAATTGACATCAACCTGGGGCCAAATACTTGTCCAAGTCCAACAATAATGGATCTGTGACCACCAATGCAGCATCCATGAATGTGAAACAGGGCATCCCTAGGAGCACCTGGAAGTCACCTTGTGTCAGAAAGGCCCCTGCAAGGCCAGATGCAGATGTTCCATCTCCTGATGCAAAGAGATCATGCAAGCAAAAAGGCAGCAATCAGAAGTGGAAGTAGTTGCCAAATCCCTCAAACAGTCAGAGTGGAAACCTTTTTTGGAACTCATGTACAGTCTATAGAGGGCTTACCCTAGTGTGACACATTAGAATACATGTGTATGGCATGTATGGTAGCTCATGACACCATGGTGGTTGTGAGAGGCATCTTTGATATCAGAGAGAGGGATAGTTAAGTGGGATGGTTTGAGCAGGACAATTGAGCAGAGAGCTGAGTGGGACAGGTCTACATATTGGCCATGTGGAAGCGACTGGTAGCTATCTATGTTGGGAGATATTGCTGCTCATCTCCCATGTATTGCTGTTACCCAAAATTTTGGCTCTGTCCACCATTGTCCAACCTTGCTGAACCAAATATGGCTGTCTCCACCATTGTCCAACCTTGCTTCCCACAGTGTGAATGATATTCTTGCCATTGTTCCTACAAGTTTAAATCTTGATTGATCATTGACCTATCAGTGAACCCATCATCATTGAATATGTCCACCAAACAGTCCCACCAAGTTCATTTCTGTCATCAAGGTGAGGTGGTCTTCATTGTTGGATCCAGTGACCTAAGCCATTCACAGCTAATGTAAGACCAATTGAGCCAAGGCAATCTAGCTCCTGCATGAAGCAGTCCAAAAATCTGGAGGAGACACTAGTACAACTGTGTGAGTTGCAAGAGCCAACCCCTCCACCAATTGTCTCAAGTGGAATGGCAGATATGGTGGGGTCAAACATGGATATCATGGCCAGTGAGTGAACATGATTTCTCTCCAAGCTCAACAACAAACATTCTTTTGCTATAGATTCATGTGAAAGCTTGCTGGATCAGTTCCTGCAGGAAAGGGAGCCAACCACTCTGGCAGAGGGTGGAATCACAGCTGGTGAGTTGGCACAATTGCCCTTCAAGCTAACAAACAAACAAATTTTTCTAGTAATAGACCCACATGACAACTTGATGAATCAGTTTCCTGAATGAACAGGAACCCACTGCTCCCCCAGTGGATGGTATGAATGTGGATCTACTCAAGCAATTGCTGAATGCATGGGAACCATTGGCACCACCAGTCCACACATGAGAAATTAAACAGGATGGATGGGTCTTCAACACCTGCACAAGACATTACTATGCAGGTCAATTTTCTGGCAGACTTGCAGAATGTGTGGGAACTATCTCCTCTGCCCATCACCCATGAATCATCAAATCTGAGGGACTGATCTCCTCAACCCAATGTCACACACCAAAGGTGTTTGGTGAGGTGGACATGGATACAGCTGATGAATGGAGATGAAGACCATAGCCCTCATGCGAAGAAGGACAGCCAGGAATGTCAGCAGTCATCCTTCACACAAGAACAAGTCATCAGTGCCAGAGAAAAAGAAAGGGAGTGAGTTAAGCACTGGCTAAAATTCTTAAGCACCCATGTATGGCATTCTGGTTTTTGACATATCTCTGCCATTTCTGCAGATACCAAGACCATTCCCACACTCACTTGTAGTGCTCAGCCACACAATCTTACCTTCCAAAATTGGAAAGGATTTGCACACTCCACATGTTTCTACAGCACTCCCTCCAAAAGATGCTCATTTCATTAAATTCTTCTGATATGGCCACCTCTACATCAATCATTTTGCTTGTCCCCTTTGCTAGGGACCATGGCTACATATATCTACCAGGAGTTCCTACCAGCTTCCATCCTGAAGCATCCTGGTACATCCCACCCTTGTCTGTGCCCTCTCAGCCCATCCAGCTTGGACAGCATATTCTTTTTGTCAGTATGACCTCTAGGAGGACATTCTTTGGTTGCCTCAGGTCTTTCATTCACTTGGAAAGGTCTTATGTGGTCATTTCAGTCTCTCCAGTCCAAGAAGCATATGGGTCCTTCCTCCCTGCTCCCTGCCATGTCTTCATACCAGTCTTGTCCATCATTCTTCCAAGATTGCAACAGCTACAGTATAATCTACTGTTCTCCACTCTCCCTGATTGCATCCATGATGAGTATGATGCACATCTTGCCTCCTTGTTGCAAGATACAGCAGAAGACACTCCCCATTCATCCTCTCTTCCAACAGAGCCTCATTCATGAAGTTTTATTTGCTTCACTGAGAGGATGGTTTGGGGGGGAAAGTTGCAATCCCCTATGCTCCTGTCACCCCACAGACCCCCAAAGCTTGACCCCTGTTGACATCTGACTCACCCTGTCCACTTTTGGATGTACTATATCGACATCAGATCAGCGCTGCCTCTCTGTCATCCCACCATGGCCTAGAAGCAATCTCTTCAAGATGTGACATGCACAGCCTCCCCCTAATGCAATTCCAGTGTGCTTTCCCAGTTCCTGACATCACTTGACTCATACTTTGACATTCTTACTGTCTTTGACTCACCTATTGCCAATACTTACCAATCTTTTGACTTTGCTTACTGATTCTTCGCTTTTTGGCTTGCTAGTCCTTACCAATGCTTACCAATGCTTTCCAAGACGATTACCCATTGCTTACATTCCTTACTCATCAGTTACCAATCACTTACCAAGTGTTTGCACCTTGTTTTCCAAGGGCAACACCCCTGTACTGTATATAAATCACTGTACTTAGATAGCAAAAAAAAAAAAAGAAGACATCAGAGAGCCCCTCTTGCTCGCATTTATCATCACTCAGTAATTCATTCAGCAGCTTCAATAGTTGAGACTTTATTAAGGGTCTAACTATCATCTACTTCACTTATCCTTGTCTATCATCAATATACTTCACTCCAAGCCCTCCCTGAGTTCAGTGCAGCTTAGGACATCAAATTAAGTCGTCATCCATCCTTCTGTAGGCTGACAGCAGTCTACCCTATTGCATTCTCTCGCATTCCTGCTCCTTCTTCATCAGGAGCACCCCCAACCCTCAGCACTCATCTTTGAGTGTTGTAGCTTGCAAAAACCCTCCCAAAGAACAGGTTCTACCATCTAGGTACTGCATAGGCACACCACCACTTGCTCTTTTTGTCTTTTGTGTTGGTTTTGGTTGGTTTTCACCACTGAACCACACTTTGACTCACACCGATTCTCTGACTAACCTGCTTGCTCAATTGCAGGATATGAGGGGACCAATGCCTCCCCCACTTGTTTGAAATGTACCTGTCAAGTCTTTTGACTTGGCAGCAGATGAGGACAATGGCACAAACTGTTTGACTTTTGGCATGCCAGAACAATCAGAGATGAGGGATCTCTTCAAAGAAATATGCAATGGTGAACATTTATTTGGTTCTATTCATGTGATTGGTGACATCCATCAATTATGTAGGTGAACTTCCATCTGCACAGCAATCTCTTCAAATGGAATAATGGGGATTGGCACCTGTTCCACATTGTGATCAAGGTATGGGCATGAACTTAATCTGATAACCTTTGACATTGATAATTTTAGTCCTGAGCACCTTACATGCCACAGTATCTCACTACCACAAAAACACCATTCCCAGTGACATGCCATTCAATCCCACCCTCAATAGGCACCTTGTGTGGGTTGCAAATGCCATTGTGAGAGAATTGGGCACAGCTGCAAGGGACCAGTATGGTGCAGCCTCTCAGGGCCTTCAACTCATCAATATGCTCAATTTGATGGAAGTCATTCATTATCCATGTTCCACCTTTGAAAATTGTCCTGAGCCATTCATTGCCCACCAATCACACCCATCTTGCCAGTCTGTGGTAGAGATGGGTATCCTCTACTTGGTGTGCCGGATCAAGGTGGCCTCTGTACATCTGAAGCAGACTGCCAATATTGCAGGATGGCCTGTGCATTGGTTTGCAAACCTAGCAATGGACTTGGTAGGTTTTACATCAATTTTTCACAATGTGGGACTGATACATATTCCTTCAGAATCAGCTTAATAGCTTGATTCTGGTGATGGTGTTGCATGCCAGTTATACTCCTCCCCTCCTGGCATGCTACCATGTGTACCTCAGACACCAAGATGATGAGGTTAGCTTCCACAATCAAATGCAGCTAATTCCCCTTAGCACATTTTGCATAATCAACAATATCAGCATCATCATCCTGCATTGGACCCCACATGCAGCTGATCCCAATTCCATCTTTGCATTCCCTTGGTGGCTATATCATTTGGAGGAATACACAGCGGATTCCCAAAGATTGCAAGGCAAGGGATTGTTTTCTGCAGCCTGGGATTTTTTTAAGGTATGCTGCTTATTCTCATCACTGCAAATAGTTGATGATGGCCCAGGGCTTATGGCCATTGCCTGAGGTGCCAATTGCAGACCATCTCAATGGCCATATCTAGGAGCAGGTAAACTACTGCATTGAAAATATTTGGAAATATGCTGATGTTGTCAATGGTTGGGGTCAACAAATTGACCATTTCTACACTAGGTGGTGGGCATTGTGTAGGTTGTTGGGCATGCTGCTTCAATAGTTTACATGTTTTTGACTGTGGAGTTGGTTGTATATACATTGCTGTGAATGTCAATCATTTATGAGATACCACCCATTTGCATGATGTCTGAACCCCTGCCCATCCATGCAATGTCTGACAATTCACCCATCTGCATGATGGCCTGAGTAGGTTTACTTTTTTTGCAGTTTATGATGCACACCCTTTAGCTCTGAGTACCCACCCAATCTATGATGTTGAAGCACCTGCCCATTTGCAAAATCTTGGCAACACCACCTGTCTGAAGTTTGAGAGCCAGCATATCCTAATAAAATACAAGATCTGCATCACCTACTAAATCTTACATTAAATTTTGCAGCTTCAAATCAACAGTTCTCCAGTT